AATCGTGCAAGATGTATTCATTTGAAGAACAAATTGACATGATCGTCATTTACTGTGAATGTCAAAAATTCATTGCGAGCAAAAATTTATACGCTGAACGATATCCTAATCGCACTCAGCCTGCGCGTCAAACATTTAAAAATGTGTACGATAAACTTAGACAAACCGGTAGCTTAGATACCCGTAAAAATGAACGTGAAAAGCGAATAACTCATGAAGGGAATAAAATTATGGTCCTCGCAATGGTGGCTCGAAATCCTCATACATACATACACACTAATATTAGTGTGCGACAAATTGACCAAGAATGTGATGTTAATCGGAATAGCGTATTCCGTATTTTGGATGCCCGGCTCATTTCAGAATAAAGTGTAAAATATCTCGTAACCTATTGATTTTTCGATACCTTTACCTTAATACTTTTATATGCAGAATAATTAGAGAAATCATATTATGTAAAAAAAAACATATTCCATTTAAAAACACGAAGTTGATCTTGAAATCTCCGAAGCGCCTCCACCTGGACAAAAATTATTATTGTCATATGATAGCCCCCTTTGTACCGTGCAATTTTGGTTATATACATTTTTCTCTAAACCTTATAGATTCGAAGATATTAAGGTGCTAATAGCTATTGAGACACTCTGTATATCAAGAATTATTATTATTAACAATAAAAAAATTAATGAGAGCATATACAACTTTCAATAAACTTGATTCTATACATATTTTATATTTTGTGTTTATGTATGTATGTATGTGTGCGTGTGCGTGCATATGAGCAATTTTTATTTATAACATATTTATACAAACATAAATGAAATAGACATTTCATGCACACACATCGTACATAAACATTATACAAAATGAATAAGTGAATATCAATTAATAGTTTGTTACTGAAAATTTTTTCTAATTTGTTCACAAAATTATGTTTTAAGATAAGTGCGATATAATTTTCGAATATAAATTGATTTTTATGTACATAAAATGTATGACGTTTTATGAAAATAGCATTTTAGTTTATACTATTTACTCATTTATACTATTAATTATTTCTCCTAAAATTTTTTAAATGTAAAATTAAGAACGAGAAAAGTGTTAGAGTCAATGCCGTGTTTATGTTGTGGCCGGTTTATCGGTCGCGATCTTTCGCTCGCGTTTGGATTGTTTACTACGCGTGCGTATTGGGAATATCGCTATGCAGCGTAGCGTGACCACGGACGCTTCAGTCCACTTCAGCCTACGTGAGTCGGTGAAGAAGATATAATTGCAGTGGTAAGTACAGCATACATTTAAAAAGTATATTTCTTTGTACAATATTTAAGATTATTCGCGTCGCGTGTTATCATCTAATGTAGTGTAACTTCATCACGTAACATTTTTTATTGTGTCATTATTTATATGATCGCTTCACGATTTTTGATTCGAGGATTATTATTATAATTCATCTCTTTATCTTTCGAGCGAGTGAGCCGAGTCTCAATGAGACTTATGCTTTATTTTGCGTTTTTTGATTGCGAGTAGTGTCTCTAACATCGAAACTTTAGCAATACATTTCGTTCGCGTTTTCTTGATCTCTCTCGTTTTCCGATGACTGGCATTATCCGTATTTTTGAGTAATTTATATATGGTACATGATTTTTTCTTATTTTTTTTCAGGAATTATTAAATGTCAAAAATAGAATCATCACCGATGTCACCGTTAACGCCGACGGCACCGGCATCAACGGTTACATCGGCGCCGGCGCCGGCATTGGCATCGGCGTCAGCCAAGGCACCGGCATCGGCGTCGGCGGAGGCATCGGCGTCGACGGAGGACCCGGCACCGGCGTCGGCGGAGGCACCAGAGTCGGCGGAGGCACGGGCACGGGCACGGGCACGGGCACCGGCACCGGCACCGGCACCGGCACCGGCACCGGCACCGGCACCGGCGTCGGAAGCATCATCAATTATAACAATTAATGTAAGTATTATATTTTATATAAAGATGCTATTGAAAGAATTTTATAATATTAAATTAATTACAGTTGTATTTTACAATATCAGTATTAGAAAACACGCGAAACAGTTCTTTTAAGTAATTTTTTTTTACGTCATATATTTTATCTTCTTCCGGTTTTAATTAATATAATTACTATGTTTAATTAATTAATTTGTTTCTTATATTTATTATTTACTATATGATATATACTTTTTATGTTTCAGAAAGAAGAACTGTCTGAAATGATTTGTACAGCTGTACAATCAGCACTCAGAGGACGGGGAGGATGGCGAGGACGCGGAATGCGAGGTGGCAGAGGAGGAAGAGGAAGACGAAGAGAAAGAGGAAAAGGAAAACAAGGCGGAAATAGAGGGGGGATAAACATTAATTATTATAATTGGGTGCAGTTCCGAATAGGTGAAACGCCCGATTGTTTTGAAACTCCACTATTTTATGTAGTTTGGTGCGCTGATTACGAATATGATAATGAAAATCGCCGACTAGGTCATTTTCAAGGTCAAAACAAGGTCAGAAAAAGTGAAAAAATATCACTTTTTAGATTATTTCGAGAAATATTGATGTAACAAAAAAAAGTTTCAAATAAAAGTTGTAGTTCTTGTAAAAATACATTATTTATGTCCTATGCATTTTTGTGTAAAACTGATAGTTTTCGAGAAAATTGACGTTAAAGATTAAAAACTTTGGTAAGTAGGATGAAACACGGGGGGTTAGGGGGCGGAGCCCCCCGAAGGGGATATGGGTGCAGGCGGGAGGGGGTGCAGGGGGAGGGGCGGAGCCTCTTTCCCCGCCTATTACATAGCTAGTGTCTATTATAGAAGTTGAAAATAACTTTCAAACACAATATGCTCTCTATCTTGCGTAGGGGTCTTGCTAATCTTTTCAGTATCAAATATTTTTAGTATATTGTAGACTCATCATACCTTTAGTAAGGCGAAGATTTAATTTATATAAACTTTCTGCGCGCACACACCTTGCATTGGGGTCTTGCTAATCTTTCCTGTATTTAATATTTTTAGTATATTGTAGACTCATCATACCTTTAGTAAGGCGAAGATTTAATTCATATAAACTTTCTGCGCGCACACACCTTGCATTGGAATCTTACTAATCTTTCCTGTATTTAATATTTTTAGTATATCGTAGACTCATCATACCTTTAGTAAGGCGAAGATTTAATTGATAAATATAAACTTTCTGCGCACATACACTTTGCAACTTTTCGTGCAAAACAGGGCCTACTTCCTATCATCTGGTGCTTCGGATTAAGTCTATAATTATAGATGCTTTTATATGGGTTTGCGATTTTTAATGCAAAGCTAATTTTCTAATACAAGTTTTGCAGCTTAATAAAATTGTTTCTTTTAATTTTTTTTTTTTACGAAAAAATGGATAGAACATACAATTTATTTTCATTAGCATCTATTTTTCAAAATCGTTCATCAACTCTTCAGTGGTTGAGAGAAGTTGGTTTGATTCCAACAAAAAGATTCTGCAAAACTCATAAAAAGTATATGAATTTGCTAGAAGAAGACCTTGAATGCGGAAGATTTCTTTGCGTGAAAAGAGAGAAGTATCGACACACTGCGACTGTTGTGGAGAATACATGATTTGAAAGGTGTCATATATCTCCTGCAGCATGTATTCTTATCACGTATTGTTTCTCGGTTAATATGTCGTTTGAGCAAACAATTCGAGAGAGCAGTGTTATTGATGGGCAGCAGATATCTTGTGAAACTGTAGCCGATAGATTTTCTTTTTGTTGAGAAGTCTGCATGGCTGCACTTGATGAACAATTTCAGGAAGAGGGTCTTTTGGGAGGTGTTGGTGAAGTTGTAGAGATTGATGAATGTAAGATTGGTCGTCGGAAGTACGAACGGGGGCGTGTTGTTGAAGGATCGTGGATTTTAGGAATGATTCACTGTGGACACGCCACTAATTATCAGCTCGAAATTTGTCCGGACAACAAGAGAGACAAAGATACTCTTCTGACTTTAATAAAAAAACATGTCATGCCTGGGACTGAGATCCATACGGATTGTTGGAAGGGTTATATTGATTTGGAACATCACGGATATGTCCACAAAACGGTGAATCATTCTGAGTTCTTCGTAGATCCGGAAACTGGAGCTTATACTCAGAATATTGAATCTTCCTGACGTTGGATGCGTCGTGCATTATCTCGCGGTGGTGTTCGCAATAATTGTATCGCTGATCATTTGTGCGAATTTATGTGGCGTCGTCGACTTCAAAGATTGGGTCAAGATCATTTCAACCAATTACTTATTGATATCAAAAAGTGTTATCCGGGTAAGGAGTAATATAGCTAACTATATTTTACTATATTTTATTATCAAACTATATTTTCTTTATACTATATTATTCACTATATTATCATCTAACTATATTTTAATGGGTTTAAAAAATAAAAATATGTTAAAAATTAAAATTAAAATTGTGAAAAAAAAAACAAACATTAAAAATATATTAAAAATTATAAAAAAATATTAAATAAAAAAAATAATTAAAAATATTAATAATTATAAAAATTAAGAAAAATATAAAAAAATATGAAAACAAAAAAAAACAAAAAATGGAGTCAGTTCTTCGTTACGTCCTCGTCGTTGACTCCGGGCTCGGCTGAGAACAAAGAATATATTTATATATTCATTTATGATTTTTTAGCATAAAGAGAGAAGGTTTTTCCTCTTATCTCATTTTTTCTGAAAACTATCAGTTTTACGCAAAAAATGTATAGGACATAAATGATGTATTTTTACAAGAACTACAACTTTTATTTGAGACATTTTTTCGTTACATTAATGTTTCTCGAAATAATCTCAAAAAAGTGATATTTTTTACTTTTTTTGGAGTTTTGACCTTGAAAATGACCTTGTCGGCGATTTTCATTATCATATTCGTAATCAGCGCGCCAAAATACATAAAATAGTGCAGTTTAAAAAAATCGGGCGTTTTACCTATTCGGAACTTTATCCATTTAAAAAACATAATTTATATTAAAAATTTGAAAATTATTACATAACCTTTCTACCACTCCCCTTCTCCCTTTTTTGCGACGCTGATTGTTATCTTGATTATTCTGGCAGTTTGATAGTTTGAAAGCAAAAGTTATTTTGGCGGTTATTTAAAATTAAAAAATTATTTTTAAATATTTAGATTTTATAATTATTAAATTGTAATAATAAGTGCGCGCGCTTGTACTCTTAAAAAAGGCATGAAAGATTGATCGAATGTATCGAAAGTATTGTTGACGCTTTTCCGCGACGCTGATTGGTTATCGCGATTATTCTGACAGTTTGATACTTTGAGAGCGAAGGTTATTTTGACGGTTATTTAAAATAAAAATAATTTATTAAAATATTTAGATTTCTTAATTATTAAATTATTATAATAAATGCGCGCGCGTAGCGCGCGCCTGTATTGTTCTAGTCTATTT